TTTCATGAAAATGTGCAGTAACTAAGAAATAAAATTTGATCTCGTTTGTTCAGAGTGCCTAGGTAAGTTAGACTATAAGTAGGTGTTTTTCTTAGTTTCCCTGGGTTTAATTGGTACTCATAAATATGCTTTGGTTTGGCTATGTTAATTCCCTGTTGTCAAGTGTTTTTATCTCATGCTATTCTACAGTAAAGTTAGAGCAGTGTTTGAAAGCAGGTGCTTATTCAGTTGAATTGATGAAGCAACACATAGTGAAGAGAGAGGGTCATTTCTATAATGAAATAGAATTTCATTGATACTTATCATGATTTACTCATTTAATAGATACACAGATGCGACCAGCAAATATGAATCTGTCATGAAAACAGAGCCCAGTATTGCTGAATATACAGTTCGTTCAAAAGAAAGGATTTGTCACTGCTTTTCTAAGGTAACAGTTGGCTTGTTCTCAGAGCTGTAGATATTTAATATGTAGAATAACAACTGTAAATTATTTTCTCACATTTACTTTCAGGATGAGAAGCCTGTTGAAGCTATTAGGATATGTTCTGAAGTTTTACAGATGGAGCCAGATAATGTGAACGCTCTGAAAGACCGAGCAGAGGCCTATTTAATTGAAGAAATGTACGATGAAGGTAAATTTCTAAAGAACTTGATTTGCAGTGTCTAAAGGTTAATTGTGGGAAATTACTGCATGTTTCAGCTACCTTTTATTTAGAACAGGGTTATCACTGTACCTGGAAATGCTGAAAATTTTAGAAAAGTGGCAGAGTATTTGAAAATTATTCTTTCTTAGTGGAACTTCAAAGGTACTGTTTTGCTGTTGAAACCAGTTCAGCAGAATATAAAAAAATCAAAATTTTAACTTTTTTTGTTGTAGTCAAGTTAGGAAAGGCAATCAGCAAAAATAGAAAATTTATATTATAGATCTTATATCATCCAGAGGTAATTACTGTTCATTCTGGATTTAAATCTTCCCAGACTTGGCCATGCAAGTCTACTTTTATACACACTATGTGCAATATATATATGTATATATATATGTGTGTATATATATATATAGGTGTATATATATGTATGTATGTATATATGCACATACAAAGCATACGTATATATCATACAGGTCTAACAAAATGATCTGCGTGACCTTCAAACTGTTTAGTAACATTCGGAGAGCTGTTTATCTTACTTTGTTCAATAGTAATAACAAGAGATTGCTGCTAGATGTTATGAAGACGTTGAATAAAGCAGTGCCTTGTTTTCTGAAAGATAACTAATGCATATATAGTAATATATATATTATGAGATCTATAATGCTTTTACATATATTGTTTTATCACTTTTGCGTGACAGAGTGCTAGGAACATTTAAATGAGATTTTTATAGGAAACGAACCATGTAGACTCTTACTATAAAATTTTTGGGTTAAATCTGGTAAAGCATTTTAAATAAACAGGTAAGAGTAATTTTCTGGTGTAGTTAAATGAAAGATTTAGATGCTTGAGATGCTTTTTGTTAAGGGAAGCTGGTCAGTTGCTCTTTTCCTGCTTTCCCCAGTTTGCAAAGAGCCTTGCTCCTAAGGAGTTTCCAGGGGGTAATGACAGCTATTATGTGCTGACTAACATTGTGGGGCATTTTATGAGACATTCAGGTTTTAAGGTCTGAGTGAGGCTTGAAATGTATGCAGTCAAAATGGTAAGCTTCAATTTTTGTAGGAATGCTCTTTTGCACACCTTCCTCCCCCCCACTTTTGAGTTACTTATCTCTTTGATAAGATGGTTTTATGCTAGGATTGTAAATTTCAGTTAGTTTTGGGTAAGTTCTCCTTCATGCCAAACTAGAAGGTACCCTTGTCATTTGTAAACCCTCAAGCTGCAGAAAAAGAATAAAAAAAATTTAGCTGTTAAAGAAAAAGTTCTGATTTTGAAGGCTGCTAAATAAAATTTGAAAAATGCTTTTGTAATGGATGTTAAACTGAATTGTGTTTTAGGGAATCTTGATGGCTTAATTTTTGAAGAAAAAGATGCTTAATACTAATTTCATATAATTGATCTATTTTGAATTCTATATTAATCATAATGAGTAAATTAGCATATTTCCATTTTTCTCTTCCATCTATGTTCTAATCATTTGTTGCATATTTTTATAAGTTTTACATGTATTCAAATTCTGTCCTCTTGCTGTACTTGTGGGCACTTCAGCAATGAAAGCCACTTAACAGACTGATGAATATACAGCTGCAGGATCAAGTGGTGCTTGAATCCCTGAGGAAGTATAATCGTGTTACCAACCAGTTAGTGCATGTGTCAAACAAATGAAGTCAGTTTACAGATGCTACCTGTCTAGTATGCTTCTCATTTGGAACAGAGCTTTTTTGGGTAAGCTCTCCTTAATGCCAAACTAGAGGTGTTATTTCTTTTTTCCAGAAGAAACTTATGCCTGTCTTACTAAAGAACATCTAAGGTTTTTAATGATAGAATTTTTGCCTCCTGGCTGCAGCCTAGCCTGCCACACACCTCTTGTCCCTGGGTTTCTTTCACTGCTCTCTTGGGTTAGTTCTGTCTTCTTTTGAGAAAAACAATGACTTTTATCTTTTTGGATTAATTTTTTATTTTTCGGCGAGTATATATCCTCAAAAAAGTGGTACGAATTCTACCAATTCCAGAAGGGGCAAGCTTCTTAGACATTCTGAAGAAATATGATTTTTAACCCAGACGTTTATATATAGCAAACTTTTTTTTCTTTATTCATTTATTCATATGTGCATACAATGTTTGGGCCATTTCTCTCCTCTCCCTGGCCCCCTCCCTCTGCACCCCCACCCCCTCACTTCCAGGCAGAACCTGTTCTGCCCTCTTCTCCAATTTTGTTGAAGAGTAGACATAAGCAATAATAAGAAAGACAAAGAGTTTTTGCTAGTTGAGATGAGGATAGCTATACAAAGAGATTCCTAGCATTGCTTCCATTACAAGTGTATTACAACCCAAATTGATTTCTTCTCTACCTGACCTCTTCACTATTTCCCAGTCACCTTCCAATATTGACCTCTGTCATCTTAAGGTTACTGTATTAGTTCCTGTACAGTGGGGACATCAAACACTTTCAAGTTTTGGGTTTCATGCCTTTCCCTATTCCTCCTGTATGTGTCCTCCCCTTAGGGTGTGACCCATATCTAATAATATTACTGTATTTGTTTTAGATCTAAAGTCCGCATATGAGGGAGAACATACGATTTTTGGCTTTCTGAGCCTGGCTAACTTTGCTTAAGATGATGTTCTCCAGTTCCATCCATTTACTTGCAAATAATAAGATTTCATTCTTCTTCATGGCTGAGTAAAATTTCATTGTGTATAAACACCACATTTTCTTAATCCATTCATCAGTAGAAGGGCATCATGGCTATTTCCCTAACATGGCTATTGTGAATAGTGCTGCAATAAACATGGGTGTGTAGGTGCCTCTGGAGTAACCTGAGTCACATTCCTTTGGGTATATCCCCAAGAGTGGTATCGCTGGATCATATGGCAGATCTATGTTTAGTTTTTTAAGAAGCCTCCATATTGTTTTCCAGAGTGGTTGTACTAGCTTGCATTCCTATCAGCAATGTGTGAGGGTTCCTTTTTCCCCACATTCTTGCCAACATTTGTTCTTGTTGGTGTTTTTGATGATAGCTATTCTAACAGGGGTAAGGTGGAATCTTAGTGTGGTTTTGATTTGCATTTCCT